CACACACAGTGACACACACACACAGTGACACACACAGTGACACACACACACAGTGACACACACAGTGACACACACACAGTGACACACACACAGTGACACACACAGTGAGTGACACACACAGTGACACACACAGTGACACAGTGAGTGACACAGTGAGTGACACAGTGAGTGACACACACACAGTGAGTGACACAGAGTGAGTGACACACACACGGTGAGTGACACAGTGAGTGACACACACAGTGACACACACAGTGACACAGTGAGTGACACACACACAGTGACAAACACAGTGAGTGACACACACAGTGACACACAGTGACACACACACAGTGACACACACACTGACACACACAGTGACACACACACAGTGAGTGACACGGTGAGTAACACACACAGTGACACACACAGTGAGTGACACACACAGTGAGTGACACACACAGTGACACACACACAGTGACACACACACACAGTGACACACACAGTGACACAGTGAGTGACACAGTGAGTGACACAGTGACACGGTGAGTGACACACACAGTGACACACACAGTGACACACACAGTGAGTGACACACAGTGACACACACAGTGACACACACAGTGACACACACACAGTGACACACACACACACAGTGACACACACAGTGACACACACACACAGTGACACACACAGTGACACACACACAGTGACACACACACAGTGACACACACAGTGAGTGACACACACAGTGACACACACAGTGACACACAGTGAGTGACACACACAGTGACACACACAGTGACACAGTGAGTGACACACACAGTGACACACACAGTGACACAGTGAGTGACACACACACAGTGACACACACAGTGACACACACACAGTGACACACACACAGTGACACACACACAGTGACACACACAGTGACACACACAGTGACACACACACAGTGACACACACACAGTGACACACACACAGTGACACACACAGTGACACACACACAGTGACACACACACAGACACACACACAGTGACACACACAGTGACACACACACAGTGACACACACACAGTGACACACACAGTGACACACACACACAGTGACACACACAGTGACACACACACACAGTGACACACACACAGTGACACACACAGTGACACACACACACAGTGACACACACAGTGACACACACAGTGACACCCACACACAGTGACACACACAGTGACACACACAGTGACACCCACACTGAGTATCACACACACAGTGACACACACACAGTGAGTGACACAGTGACACACACACAGTGACACACACAGTAAGTAACACACACAGTGAGTGACACACAGTGAGTGACACGGTGAGTGACACAGTGAGTGACACAGTGATACACCCACACTGTGAGTATCACACACACAGTGACACAGTGAGTGACACACACAGTGACATACACACACAGTGACACACAGTGAGTGACACACACACTGACACCCCACCCACACTGTGAGTATCACACACAGTGAGTGAGTGACACACACAGTGAGTATCACACACACACAGTGAGTGACACACACACACACAGTGAGTGACACCCACACTGTGAGTGAGTGACACACACAGTGAGTGACACCCACACACACAGTGAGTGACACACACACAGTGACACCCACACTGTGAGTGAGTGTCACCCACACTGTGAGTATCACACACACACACAGTGAGTGACACACACACACACACTGACACACACAGTGACACAGTGAGTGTGACACACACACAGTGAGTGTCACCCACACTGTGAGTGACACACACAGTGAGTGACACACACGGTGACACACACAGTGAGTGACACACACACACAGTGACACAGTGAGTGACACCCACACTGTGAGTATCACACACACACAGTGACACAGTGACACACACAGTGAGTGACACACACACAGTGAGTGACACACACACAGTGAGTGACACACACAGTGAGTGACACACAGTGAGTGACACAGTGAGTGTCACACACACACACAGTGTCACCCACACTGTGAGTATCACACACACAGTGTCACCCACACACACACAGTGAGTGTCACCCACACTGTGAGTATCACACACACAGTATCACACACAGTGAGTGTCACCCACACTGTGAGTATCACACACACAGTATCACACACAGTGAGTGTCACCCACACAGTGAGTATCACACACACACAGTGAGTGTCACCCACACTGTGAGTATCACACACACAGTGAGTGTCACCCACACTGTGAGTATCACACACACAGTGACA